CATCACGAACTTCTACGATTTTCCTAAGCAACCGGAAGCCGACTGCGAAGTTGAAAGCAATGAAGCAAGCCAACCAGTGCCTACGGTCGACCGTCGCCTTTGCGAGCAAGTATGGAAGTGGCTGATTGTTCACCCGGATATCCTAGTGGGAAAGGAGAACAAAGGCAGGAAGCTCACGCTTAGTGGTTTCGAAGCACATGCGAGAGCAACGCGAACCACGAATCAAGGCAACGAGCCTCAACCCATTCCCGTAATCCCAGGCGATGCAGTGAAGGGGGCGAGCGTTCTCAGCGGTGAACACCACGACGCGCAGCCTATAGGCACTAATAGTAGCACGACAAACACTGAGGGACCACGGAGCTCACACGGACCTTCACCACTTCGACTCTATGTCACTACTGAACGCATCTGGCAAGCACTTACCGGCCATGGTCTCGATACGAAGAGGGTTCCGGAGTTGGAGTTCAAACTGCTCTCGGTAATTGCTTCTTCCGGGCGGAAAGGGATTCTGCAAGCTGAGCTCGTCAAAGCGAGTGGTCAAGACAAGCGATCTGTCCCGAAGCGAACCGACAATTTGCACGACAAGGGTTACATTGAGAAGCGAGGGGTACTAACGAAAGGAGCCCGGACAAGCATCTGCATTCTCAAGCAATATGCCAAGCAAACTGGAGCTCCGGGGACTGGGAAGACTGTCGACGCTTTGGCAAACGTAGTATTCCAGCATGGGCTGCTCGTCTACGACAACTTCCTCGATTTTATCACGGCACTGCTGAAGGATAGGAAGATCATCACTTTTGAGGATCTCCGCGAAATACTTGTGAGTTATCCGGTCCTTCGCATCCTTGTCAGCAAGCTAAACATTCGCAGGGAATCTCAAGGAAGAGATGGGAATCCAAAGCCATGTTCCGGTCTATTGCCCGGCTGGAGAAGCTTGGCATCGTTTTGCGGGTTATGGCTAAGCAGTCCAACGTCGAATCCGCGTACTACCGTAAGAAACGTTATCCTTGCGTCAAGATCCTCCGAGAACCAAACGATAAGGACCGGCAATACCTAAGGTCCTTGCCCGCCAAAGAGGACCTCGCTCTACACCATGATTCGATGCTTCCGATAGAATCCAACGATGATGATGCCCCTGGAGACATTGACACTGACATGCTCAACGATGAGCAGGAGGAAGAGAATGATGCGGCAGAGCCTGCAACAACCGAGACAGCCGATGAAGAAAGCCGCAGAAGTGCTCCTCAGTGGACCCCTGATCATCCGTTGGGGAACTTCTTGTTTAACTTGATTGATAGCAAGGGAACTAAAGGAATGAGTTCGATGGTCAGGATTGCCTCATCGCCTCAGAAAATTCCAATCGTTAACTTGCGACCAGGAAATACGCGATCTTTCCGCTGGTCCCTTCTGGAGACGCCCTATGGATACTGTTCTTGGCCGGCTTACCGACATCTGGCAAACATCACAACCGCTACATTTGCGCCACTTAGCCATAGTGAGAGATACGTCGTTGACTGATAAGCAACTACACTACTTGTACCGGACTTATGACAATTTTGGCAAGGCTGTTGAAGCAGGTGAGGCTGTCTGGGAAGCCATCTTGACAGCTAAAAAGCCCCTTGCCAATGCGAAGTCCCGAGGCAAGGGTCGTAGCGAGGTGGAAGTGGATGAGTGGGGCTTTCCAGCTCTTTCCGCTACCGCCTTCTTCGGTGGGAGAGGCACTTTCACTCTGCAAGAGATGTACGCAAAGAACAAGAGCATCATCGACGATGTCGCGTGGAACAAAGTCATCAAGAACCTCGGCGACGAGACCGACACCATCACCAGGGGCATTCTTACCAACAGCAGCAGAGTTGCCACATCCAAGCCAGCAGGTAGATCCAGAAGGCCTACTACAGGACGGCATCCGCCTGACGAGACAGAAACTGGTGCTGATGCAGAAGTGGCCACTGCGAAGCCCAGCAAACCTATGGGCAGGCCGAGGAAATATGCTGCAGGAGAGGAGCCGTACATGAAGAGGCGTCACGAGCGACAGGAGGGGACGCTGGTTGCGGAAACGGCCGTATTCGGTGCACGAATACGTATGCAAGCTGTCAGGATTGCACAGGAGGAAGCCGCGCTTCAGCGTAACAACGTTGTTCTGGGTCCAAGCGCACTGACAGAGCGGACTTCTTTTCCGGATTCTCGACCTACTGATGCTAGCCAAAATATTGAGCAGCTGCAGAATGCACAACCACCCGTTATCGTAGGAGAAGATCGAACTGATACTATCATCTCAGTTGTGGACCAGGCTTTTACGCCAGTCCAGTCAACAACATCTGGTTCAAAGCGGAAGCAAACCACGACAGCTTCAGCGGGTAGAGCAAAAAAGGCGGTGGCCACTACTGATGCTCTGCCTGCCGGAGTTTCCAACGAACGAGTGCAGGAGCTTGTTATCGAGCTGACAAACATGTCCAGACCTGGCATCTACTTGAACCCACCAGGCTATCGGCGGAAGGAGACAAGGAGAGGCCGCCCACCCAAAGCTCTACTTGCAATCTTCAAGTCGTCCCGGCTGAAAGAGCTAGATCTGCCAGCTCCCGGAACATTTAGAGACCTCGATACAATGCTCGCTCCGCACTACCAGGATGAGTCAGCTCCGGTGGCTCCGGTAGGTCAGGCTGGAATGGAGCACCAACCTGCGTCAGCTGTACTGTCCATGCCTAACGTACCATCTGGCCCTGCTGTTCCACCATCCAACGAAGAGATATCTTATCATGTGAATCAACTAAGCAGTCATGAGGTACCCGCCAACGCCCAGGCTCAGGAACTTGCTGTGGACACTCACGCTATGTCAACTCCCGGCGCTGATGTTGACCCATCAGGTATCCAGCCACCAAAACGGAAGACTCGCCGACTTCCTAGGAAATCTAAAGCCGCCTCCCAATCTAGTCAGCCGGAGCACCCCATTCCTGGTTCCTCTCTGCAGGCGGCACAGCCCCAGGCTCCACCCATATCGTTGGGCCAGAAGACGGCCGTCGAAACTGGCCAAACTGAAAGTGGCCCCCCCTCCGTTCCAGTGCTGGGAATCATGGAAGTGTGTCCACCGGGGCGAAGCTCAACGCCAACGTATCGCAGTCCGTATGCGCCAGCCAGTAGCACTGAAACACACTCCAATGGTGCGATGGATGTTGATAGGCCGGGAGTTCCACCGAATACGCAATTGGGAAGCAGCGATTCTGCTGAAATACAGGCGGAAGCTCAAACTGATCAAGCGGCTCCGCAGTTCACAGCCGACGATCCGATCAACAACTTTTCCAACGCAGAAGTGGGAGATAGCATAGGCCGGTCATCTCCGGCAGCGAAGGGTGCGCCAGTCATTTCTAGCGCTGAGCAAAAGACTCCGGCGAGGTTGATATCCAACGCTAACAAACAGAAGCCCCGGAAGTCAATCTACAAACCCAAGATGGGTGTCAGGCTTGGCGAGGGACACCTTGGCTTCAAGAAGAGGAAGATCCTTATGGAGATGATTGACAAGTGCGGAGGCGCATATCCAGGCAATCAAGAGTTGCTCCAGCCATTCGTCGCTCTATGGAAAGAGCAGTACTCTGACAGCCCACCAGACAGATATACCATCCTACGAACTGTGAAAGCACTTGTCGACAGTGGTACACTTCTTAGACTCGGCTTCACAGTGACGGACTTCGATGGCGTGGTGGAGGCCAGACAGATTCTGATGAAACCCGGCGTATCCTCGTCGTCCGATTTGGTTACCAATATGCAGAGCAAGATAATCGAACAGAGTCCGAGATTGTACTATCCTCCTGAGGTCGCTCATCTCGTAACTGAAAGCATTCAGCGTCCGCATGGAACCAACTTTCGGCCCGATGATACCATATTGGTCGATAGAATCTACCAGCCCCCACATCTGCTCAGGCTGGAAAAGAAGGTAGCTGTGGCAAAGGAAAAGCGAGAGGCTGCGCGCTTGATCCTGGAGGCATCGAAGCAGAACGAGGCGGTAGATTTGCAGAGGCCGGGTCGATTACTGAGACTGTTCCCTCGTTTGCGAAAACCACCTGTGCAACTTCCGAAGCCAAGAGTGACGCTTCCAACGTCAAGAACAATACTTCCAACGCCAGGGCTGATGTTTGAACCGCCGGAACTTCCCAAGCCGCTGTCCACTCCGTATGTAAGCGGGTCAGTAACGTCGTATCTAGTGGATGGTCCCAACCAAGAGCAGGAGAGGCGAGAGGGTCATTCCGCACTACCAATCCTTGTTCTATCAGATCCTCTTCCTCAAATGTCAATATCAGAGGGCAACTTCCGCAGCGCCCCGCACAGACTGCGGCAGCTTGTTCCTGAGCCTCCGACTATTCTTCGAGCGTCCCGACGATTCTCTGACAGGCAGCCAGCACCCACTCACAATGACTCGCCCCAATCACTTCAGCAAGGCCCGAGTATCTCCAACGGTTTCTTGAGTTGGCAAGCGATTAGCACGTTGATGGATCCGGATCAGCCATTTCATGCAGCCAGTGGAACATTCGGCACCCAATTTCATGTGCTTCGAATTACCCGCCCACCGTTCTGGGTTTCGCAGACCAGAGGCCTCCAAGCACAGGAGATGCTGGAGAAGCTGGTGCCGGAGTCGTTGGAAGACCTGCGCAAATCATTCAGATTGCCAGGTGCAACTAGGAACCATGACCGTCGCGATGATCCTGATTACAGCAGATTTGAAGAGACTGTTGACTACGTTTCGCGATGGGAAGACTCGCTGGTGAAGAAGGCACCCTGGCGTTTGTCCGGCTTCTCGGTCAAGCAACCTCACTTCATCAATCACACGCTCACAACGGAACATCGAACTGCCAGGACGGAGGTCAGGGACCCTTTGGTTCAATGGAGTGGCGCAAGTGGGCAACTGCACAGTCTTAGTGCACCACCTCCTGCTGTTTCGGATGATGAGGGTGAAGCTGGCGAAGAAGAGCCGCCTAGGAAGCGCCGCGCGAGAGGCCGTCCTTCGCAGTTGTCATTGAATGCATCGAGAGCACTGGCTGTCGCCGAGCCTACAGGAAGGCCAAAGAGAGTGACATGGGTTAGACCCAACTCTACGACATCGCGAAAACGCAAGCGAGTTCTGGACGGAGAGGCAACCGATGGCGCAGTCTCTGAGGCGTCCGCCAAACGGCTCAAGCGGGCAAATCCGAATTCCGGTTCGGCCCTGGGGGTGCTCCCGGCACGTCTCAACAAAAAGCTCATATTGGCCGTCATTGTTGTCCGGACCCTTACCGGCGGACTCGACCAGAACATTGACTGGAGCCTGGTCATGGCTGCTCTGCCTGGTAAGCCCAGCAACAGGTTCAAGCGCTTATCCAACCCCTGGACCTTCTTCAAGCAGAACTATGGGAATGAGATTGATAAGATGCAAGACGATTTCGAGGAACGTTTCCTGGCGGCTGTAGAGAATGGCGAGCTACCGCTTGTGAATTCTGATGACCCGGGGAGTTACGATTGGTTGCAACTCGTGGAATGGGCCGACAAGGCCGTTGAAACCCCCAGTTTCGACGACCTTGAGCTGCCTGCAGACCGAGACACGCTCGAGGCAGAGTTTCTCATTCAGGAACGCCCGGCGCCAAAAGTCGTGCGGATAAACATGCACACTACGAAAGAGCGCGAGCGAGCGGTGATGGAGACATCGTACCAAGCCTATATCTCGCCGCTTTCCCCAGCTAAGAGCAGCGTGGTCGCCGCAGAAGCCACGCCTACCAAGCTTGAGCTCGCAAAGTCCTGGGTCGTCGCTACCGTCGCTACTCCCGAGGCTCAATACAACGAGAATGCTGCACAAGCTGAACTGGTCCATCTCGACCGCGGAACAAACATCCTCCAAACAGCCATCACCGCGCTTATTGACGAGAAAGTCATCTTGCGAGGCAACAAGGGCCGCGTGGTCCCCGGCCGCAACTATGCCCTCACCGGGCGTTTCCACCAGACATTTGAATCTTTAACGACTCCTCGCATTGTGACTTTCCATCAAGCTCGGAACTTCAAGTTCCACCTCGACAACGCGTTCCGCAACCCAGACCCGGAGAAGCGGAGGATCGACGTCTGCTACGACGTCTCAGACGGCGAGATCATGGCACTCACGAACCTCCTTGCCGGCAGGCGCGTCAAGCTCATCCCTAGGTTGCCGCCTACAGACCATGCTCACAAGCCAAAGGAGCCGACCATTAGCAAGTGGGGCTGGCTGGAAGGGAATTACAAGTCCATGCACATGGATCGCGAGAAGCTGTTCTTCGGCCTCGAGATCGTGCCTACGGCGGAGTACATCTTCGGCAACCCGCTCGCCACTTCTGCAACGGCTAACCCGAGCAGCGGGGCCGTTGAACTCGCGGTTCCGCTTCCTCCGATGGTCCGATCGTATGATGGGAGACCTTGCATCCCGCTCTGGTTCGACATCCACGGCAAAGTCAACTGGGAGTGGTGGAACAAGCTGCTGCGGGTTGTGCTGAATAGTGTCGCTTTTCGGCCGGGGACTAGCACACAGATGTTGGTCAACAAGTTCAAAGGCCTGGTTCCGCACAAGGATATGGAGCGGTGCGTTCAGTGGTGCCTGGATGCTGGTGTCCTGAAGCGCATGGGCGAAGACACCGAGGCGCTTACTACGGGGGAGTGGTGGTGGATGGCTATTGTGGTTGATTGTGGCGAGGTCGATGGCAAAGTCGGCGGAACGAAGCAGAGTCGCACTAACATGGTGCCCGATGTGATGGAAGTTGACGAGGAGGAGTCTGAGGAGGAGTCGGGAGCGGAGTGAGGGGTTGATTGAGTGTTCCGCTGCGTCGCTGTGGTTACTGCAAAGCATTGACGGCATATATGGGTGGCTTTTATGTGTTGCTAGTTGCTTCGGATACCCAGTGCTGTTTAGGCAGCCCGCTCTACGTATAGTTTTCGACCTTCTAGTATAGTAGCTTGAATGTACCACGCTGGTAGTCGAAACGCTATGTTCAAACCACGTTAATTTAAGTACGCATGAACGCTATGCCATGAGCTTCGTTACATCAGTTATCTGTCCGCTGCTTTCTGCTTCGAACGAGAAGAAATTCAAGGGAGTTTGTGAGGCTACTCGAACGGTGTTTAATATACGCTTGCCACCAGGAAAAATGTGTGACGGGCTTGCTGCCTCTTCCATACCTGTGCAATTCCGTTGGAATATGGATGTCATCCGGTCTCAGAACTTCAACCATGCACCGCAGTGCACTGGAAATATAGGGTCCTCCCGATCGTACCGATCTTGTTGATAACGTGAGCACTGCAGACATCAACTTCGTAAGAGCATGAACCGATCCTTGCATAGCTAAAAACTTTGCCTGGAGCCAGCATTGAGTGCGCCCAGAAAGATTGAACAGAAGGGGACCTGCATGATATTGTGAGATAATCTCTATTTAGATTTCTACGTCCTAGAACAAGCCTACTTCACCGGAATATGTTACAAATCCACCAGGTAAACGCTCACTTTTAGGTTCTTCCACACAGCAAGCGCCATCGTGACGACTTCTTCGAGCCTGCTTCCCAGCCCACACATCCCAGACTCCAGCCTTACGCGCACTCAAGAGCCCCCCACCTCGATATCCAACCGCCAGCACCACCAGCCTTCCAGCCTCCGCGCACCAGCTCCACTCCACAGACGTCCCTCACGCCTTCCTCGCCGTCTTCGGCGTGCTCCTCCCACTCCCCACCCTCTTCGCCTCCGGCCGCTGCAAATGTCCAGCAGGGATCCAGCTCTCATCGTAAGCCTTGGCACCGCTAGTAACAGCGGGTCCATCAGCTCCAATAACAGAGACCTGATCGGCCGGGTCGACGCGCTTGGACTGCTTCGAGGAGCCCTTGGCGCGCTCGCCGCCTTTGCCTCGCCCGCGCTTCTGCGGGAAGAGCGTCGTAATCCAGGTGTTGTAGATGAAGTAGCAGGTGCCGGCGAAGGCGGATGCGAGGACTAAGTAGAGGAATATGCTGGGGGTGTGTTAGTCGATGGGTGTTGCGGAAATTGTCAGGGGAGGGGAAAGAGGGAGAGGGAGAGCAACGCACATCTGGGGATCAAAGATACTAGTCGGTGCCTCAACGATGCTGACAGTCTCGTTATAGACCTGCATCGTGTAGAACGCATCCTTGTTATCCTTCAACACAGCCGCGATATTGAGCTTCAGGTCCTGCGGATGCAGCTCCGTCGCGAAGGTGTACGTCAGGGACTCGCTCTCGCCAGCTGGAATCTCGACGTTGTATCTTTGCACGGTCAAGTTGCGGACGACCTGCGGCCCTGCAGCATCGAGACCAGGCATTGCCATCAGCGAGCCGCCGATGAAGGCCACGGTCACGGGCTCAGGCTCTTCATTGGAGAAGGAGAGGACGGCGCGGGTGGGGTTGCCGTTGACCAGCTTGACGCCGAAGATCTCAGCTTGGGGGAAGGAGGCCGAGACTTTGACTTTGAGGTTCGGAGAGGTGGAGGGGTCTTCGACTTCCTCTTCGAGCTCTTCGACGGTGGCCTGGACACGTGTGAGCTCAATGCCCCATTGAAGGTGTGGGGAAATGATGCCAGCTGGCAGTTTGGGGCCTTACATCTATTTGAGCCACGGCAGTAAAGGCGCGCAGTGCTGCAAGAGCCAGGGCGGTGAATTTTAGGGAAACCATTGCTGCGATTGATGGGGGAACGCGATTGTATTCTGCTGCTTTACTGTTGCTTGCGCAGTGATAACTTATATGTATCCTGAGGTTAAGGTCACGGTTGTGGAGTTACGTCAGCGCGGAGCTTCCCCAGCCAAGTCTAGCTCAAAAGTCTGCTGGCTGCCCGCGCCTTTCCGAATATCTGCAAACGTCAAACCAAACGCCTGCCGGTATCAACTTACACGGGACGGAGATGCGTTGCAAGTCCAAGCCCTGCCGCCCCTGTGTGCTACTCGATCATACAATGGTCGACGACACAGTGATGGCAGTTGTGTAAGCCGAGGCGCAGGGTACACACACGGCAAAGCACGATTCTGCTTGCTGGCTCAGCATGGACGAGGCTCCCTCGAGATGCATGGGGAAGAGTAGTTGTAGCTGCCATCACAAAAACACGTGAATTGCAAGCGAATGATTGCTGAATGTGCCCGTGAAGCTGTGTTTAAGATTTACTTATGCACTTGTGAAAGCTGCCCGTTTCCGTGCCGTCATCGGGTTCGTACATCATTAAACACTCCTTAGTATCATCCCCAATCTCAATCCAAAGTCTTCCCGATCAACCCATCTCGCAGTCGGCGGACATCTTCATCGAACAGCAGTTGCAGAACTCCAAACAGTAAGATCCCGAGCTTCCAAGATGCCGGCCTCGTACGTTCCATCGGCAACTTACGCTCCTTCGACGCCTTCCCAGAGCGGAACAGTCGTTAGCGGAACAACCGTTGGCGACACCACAATTGCAAGCCTGTGGACGCGTCATGAGGCGCTCAAAACCGTTGAAGCGGACAAAAACAGCCTGATCGAGGTGAGATCGAGCTCCTATTCAATCTAAGAGGATGTTATTCTAATGACATTATAGGAGATCCTGTTTCGCTATGAATTTCTCAGCGACCAGCTCAAAAAAGAATGCGAAGACCATGACCGCGAGCGCGAGTACAACCGCCAGTCCCAGCGTAGCATCAAAGAACTCGAAGATCGTATCCGGCGGATGAAGGCATTTATGGTTAGCCTACTGACGCGTCTCCTCTCATCATCACGCGTGCGAAACTCCCAAGTCGCTGACATACCAGCAGGAACGTGATCCATTCATCCTCGTACTTATCGATGGCGACGGCATGATTGTGAGTTTTTTAACAGGGGCTACGGTGACGCCAGGATTCACGCATTTGGCTAACAGTGTATGATTCTAGTTTCAGGACGACCTGCTCCAAGAGGGTGAGAGTGGCGGCAGAAAAGCGGCCCATAGCCTCCATGCTGAAGTCAGCGAATACATCCAGACGATTGAATCCGGCTTGCCATCTGACGTCAAAATCGTTACGCGCGTCTACGCCAACGTCACAGGACTCGCTGAGACGTGCATCCGAGCCGGTATTGTCGACAAGGCCTCTGCGATTGATGACTTTGTGCGTGGCTTTACTCGCGGAAAGAATTTGTTCGACTTTGTCGATGTCGGCCCTGGAAAAGATCGGGCCGACGACAAGTTGACAGGTAAGGAACAACGCCTTCCGCTGCACTCCGCAATTCCTCGCATGGTAGCAGTGCCGTTCGGGATGCCATTTGCTTCGCTAACATTGCTCAAACCAGAAACCTTCAAGCTATATCTCTACGACTTCCACTGCCATCACATCCTCTTTGGGTGCTCACATGACAATGGATATGCACGTCTTTTGGAAGAGTACACAACCGACCAGGGTTTTGTCAGTCGCATCACGCTTTTAGAGGGCGTCCCATTCGAAAAAGAGCTTGTCACGCTGCCTTTTATGACCAAAAAGTTTGAGAACCTCTTCCGCTCGTCGAAGATCAACCTTTACGGCAACCAGGTAAGGAATTTCTGCAACTCCACAAGCTTCTTGAACAGGTCTACATAGTCAAGGCTTTCTTGCTGACATCGTGATTCTTTGACAGAGCCAAATAACCCCATTTGCTCCACCAGGACTCGGTACCACACCCCTCTATGGAAACCCAATCTCAAACCAAGCCTTCCCCCTCCGTCCAACAAAGGAGCCATCCACACCCACCCTCGCTACCACCTGGGCCGCCGCGGTTCAAAAACCAGCCCCATCCCCCTCCCTCACGCCCGCAGCGCCACTCAAAGCCACCACAGCCTCGACCCTCGCCCTGACTCCCACAGCCATCCTCCACAACCGCAAAGGCCAGCGCGTCGACCCCGCAGTCCGCAACTACGACAAAGAGGAAGTCTCGCGCGTAAAGCGGCTCAAGATGTGCAACGTGCACTTCCTGCGACGGGACTGCCCCTTCGGGAGCGCGTGCACGCACCGCCACGACTACAAGCCCACAGCGACAGAGCTGCAGACGCTGAGGCTGGTGGCGAGGATGGCGCCGTGCGATTATGGCAGTGCGTGTCAGGATGTCAAGTGTATCTACGGGCATGTCTGTCCGGCGCCGCAGAAGAAGGGGATGGGCGGGAAGGGGTGCATCTTTGGTGAGACTTGTAAGTTTCCGATGGAGTTGCATGGGATTGATTTGGAGGTTGTGCGGTTCACCAAGGTGTGAGGGTTGGGTGGAGAATTTGCTGGCATGGGATACTCTGATCAGTGGATCATGTGGACAATGTCCTGTGGGCTTTCTGGTCGAGCTGCGATGGATCGGTGCGAGAGGTTTGAAGGGGATAAACTAGGTGCTGCGGAATAATGTTGCTCATGGCGAAAGAGTCTGGGCTTGCTCGCTGCACGAACGGTTGCTATTGCAGGGCTCACGGATCAACGCTTCGATAGATAGCTACCAGCTGACGTCTACCTCGGGTGGTAGCGCACAAAGGCTGCCGGCAATTATAACAAGTCATTCGCAACCGGTGAACCGTAATCTCATGATCTTGAAGAACGTTGCTATCTGAGGGCACCACTTCCTCGGCAGCGTGTGATGTTGAAGCATTGCCTGACAACCGTGATGATCTATTCAGGTCTTCTTAGGCCGCACCACCTCTAGTCCGTCGGCACCAAGTTCCTCAGTGACAAGTCGTAGACCACGTCCTCAACCTCCTTGACCTATACAGCCAAACTATTAGCCCTGGAGCCTATGTGTGGCTATAAGAATCTACTTACCCGATACTTCATTCCATCCGTGCGTCTCCTCAGCGCATCGTTCTTCAGGTTCAAGATCTGGAAGCCCGCATGCAGGTCTTTGATGAACTGGCTGATCTGCAGCGGACGGCGATAGTCACCCAGCGTGACCGAATTGCGCGCCAGACGCGCCTGTGACTGTAGTTAGCAGCGTGGACACGTTTCAGACCGAATCTCCATTCTGGACATGACCTACCAGCTCGTCAACCAGTGAAATGAGCGCGTGCAGATACTCCTCGATGGTGAGATGGAATGCGTCTCGGTCTTTGAGGTTGACGGGGACTACGAACCCCATCAGCACCAGCACACGTATCTTAATCTTCATGCTCTGAAAGCCCGAACTCACCTCCCATAATCCCCCCCGTCTCCTCAATCGTCAGCAGCCGTCCCGGCTTGCTTTCCTGACCCGCCGCAAACCCGCCCAGCCAGCCGCAGAACAGGACATTGAAGGTCTGCACAGTCACATCGGCGTCAGCATCAGCAATCCAGTTGTCATGTCGAGAGCTCGTTGGGTTGGTAAAGGACACACCGCATCCTGCATCTGCCTCGTCCAGATGCCGTTCCATTTGTAGTACGGCTGGCCCGCGGTAGCCTCAGCGAGCTTCTTGATAGAGTCGATTTCGTGGCGGATGGCGTCTTGGGCGGCGGTGACGACGGAGGGGACTGCGGACGCGTGAGCGGAGTCTGGGCTGACAGGGAAGGCACGGAATGGATTTTGACTACGTACGCTCAGCGGTCGGCGTGGAGTGGGCTCTTGAGAGGATGGACTGGGCGGTGCGGACTGGATGGGGCCGTTAACGGTGGAAGGTTGAGATACACGGCGGATGGGGTAACGGACTCTGCTTCTCTAGGGTCTGGATGATTTCTTTGAGCTCCTGCAACGTATTAGATTCACGGCTGCCACTTTCGATCTGAAGAACTTCGAAGTCTGGCTCACATCTCGCACAGTGGTATCCTGGTCTACGCGGGCTTGGAGGTCTTCAAAGATGCCAGGGTTCACCATTCCGTGTCGGTCCGCCATGGTGTTGTAGGTTGCAAGTGATTATCACGGCGAGATTCTGGTGTTCGTTTCGCACAGGAGCGGCGAGGCTACATGCAAGTTCACGGTCACGAAATGGCAGCACGTCGTCACGATGTTTGGATACATATGGTGCCTAGAAAGGGATGTTCTACAAGCACACCACAACGCTCCAGGACTTCACAGATGGCCAAGACAAATCCACTTCTTCTTCAAGCTCCCGCAACAAGGCGAAAGGCTCAATGAAAAAAAGGTCTTCGCGTCAGCCAGAGGCAGTGCAATACTGGCGACACGGTGGGAGACGACATGCGCAAGCGCAGCGGCCGCCTCCCGGGTTGCAAAAATAAGTATAATCGATAAATGAGTCCGTAGACTCGTTTCAGAGATTAAACTGAAAAGAACAGATACTACACTTGATCTAAGCCAAAAGGCA